AGGTTATAAGGAGAGTCAGTTTGTTTATTTATTTTTTTAAATAATCCTAGCTACCACTTGCAGACTGGATTCCAAAGGTTCACAAGTAGAGTCAGGGACACCACTTAGGAACATGGTGGAATTCTCGGGGGCAGAAGTGCTTGTGGCTTCATTGAGTAGGGTAGTGACACAGACTGTGGGAGAGAGAAAGTGAACAGATTTGGGGTAGACTGGTGTGTGACTCAGTATTTTTAAACTTTGTCATGTGACAAGAAGCTATTAGAGAATTCCTAATTAGTCAGTAGACCTGGTCTGGTCCAGAGAGCCCTCCTCTCTGCCCTCTTTCTAAGGAAGGTCTCTACTCAAAGTCTGTGGACCTGTTCTTTTTTTGTAAACTGTCTATATATCATTTTTTTCTTCTTTTCTCCTTTTCTGAGGGGACTTCACAGAAATGAGAATTCTACACGTGGACAAGGCTGGTAATTTGATGCCTACTGGTATTACTGGGTGTAGGAGCCAAAGTTAGAAGATGAGTCGGTTGGAGCTTTGAAGAGGAATAAAATGTCTGTGGCTGTAGTTTACTGCTATAGATGAGCAGTGGACCAGAGGCAGAGAAATTAAGAAGAAAGATGATGTGAAGGATAAATTATATGTCTTTTAATTGGTTGGTGAGGCAAAGAAATAAGTAAGCCTTAGTTGTGAACAAATTTATTTTGTTGGAAAAATAGCTCTCCACTGGGGCTGGATTCTTAAAAAAATATGAATTTCATGCAGGAATAAGATTTTCAGGAAATAAATTTTTAGATGGTTTATACCAGTGGCACTCACCCAGTGACAGACCAGTCCTTCCCCCTATTCCTTGACCCCCTAATATTTGGCAATATTGGGAGCCAGTTTTGGTTGTTACTCTGAGATTTCTTCTGACATCTAGTGCCTAGAGGCCAGGGATGCTGGTAGACAGCCTACAGCGTACGAAACAGACTCCCCTCACCCCAAGAGACATATTTGACCTCTTATCTCATCAGGTGAGATTTGCCAAGTGAGTTTGGTACCAAATTAAAAAAAAAATTTATGAGCTATCTGGATTTGGAAATGCAGGGAAGGAATGGTGGACATGTATTGGGATCATGGTTTTAATCTCCGTAAAACTCAATAGTTTCCTATTTATGTTTAGCACAAATTCAAATCCTAGATCGCCTACAAGCTTTTGAGTACCCGACTCTTTTGATTTCTCCAGTGGAATCTTTCACGCTCCTTCCTCACTCTCTGTGCTTCAGTGAACTCTTTCCTTCTGGTTTATTGCAGAATTTCATCATCTCTTTCAAACTTCTACACACGCCTTTACCTTTACCTGAAATGCGCCTCCCTTTTCTCCCACACACACACACATGGCCTCTTCCTCTAGCTCACATCAACTTCACCTTCTGTGTCACATCTTAAATGTCACTCTTCAGAGGCTACTTCTCTGACATCCTGATATAATTACTCTCCATTCTAGAACTCCACACTTTTCTTCTGACATTTCTGACTCCTGTATGATATGTTGGGCTTTGCCCATCACTTTCACTACATTTTATGCTCCTCGAAGATAGGGGAGATGTCTGTTTTTCCTTCTTTGGATTCCCAGGGGGCTGCACAGGCCTGGCACCAGGCCAGCCCTAGGCAAGTAAGCGTTTCTGGGATAGCTAAAAGGTCTGGGCTGAGAGGAGGCAGCAGAGTCTTTCTGGTGGAGGCATTCAGGAGGAGGTGGTGATGGGGCAAATCCTGGTCCAGCTCTGTGCAGAGTGACTGCACCCCAAATGGCTTAGGATCAGAGGAGTCTCCTCCCCCCAGGAAGGCCTTCCTCCACCACTGGCAGGTGAAAGTTGGACCCCTGGGGTGCTTGTGCTGGTGCTTAGGGCGCCAGCGGAGCAGTGGGGGTCCTAGTGCCCCCAGCAGTGCGTGAGCACTCTGCACCGGTGGGCAGCACTGTCGGCCTTCTCCCACAAGCCCTCCCAGTGACCAGATCTTTTATGTCCTCACAGCAACTTTCATGCATCAGTTTAAGGGAGAGTGTCGTTTCTTCAACGGCTTGGAGCGGGTGCAGTTCTTGGCCAGATACATCTATAATACGGAGGAGGATGTGTACTTCGACAGCGACGTGGGGGAGTTCAGGGCAGTGACTGAGCTGGGGCAGCCGGACGCCAAGTACTGGAACCAGCAGAAGGACTTCATGGAGCAGATGCGGGCCAAGGTGGACACGCTGTGCAGATCAAACTATTGGGGAATAGGCAGCTTCATGGTGCAGCGGCGAGGTGAGCTGGGGGCGGGTGGCCGGGGAAAGGTGGTGTTGGGGGTGGTGTGTGTGTCTGTGTGTGAGAGAGAGACGGAGAGAGACAGAGACAGAGACTGAGTCCAGGTGGGTGGGATGCACTGTGAGCCAGTATAATTTAGGAAGGGGCTGTAAAGGATGTTGTCAGGGAGACAATGCGTGACTTCAGCAGTGACTGTGAGAAGGGACAGAGCATGTGGTTGGGGGAATGGGCCTGGGGTCTGAGAGGACATTTTCTCCAGGTTGTGATTCCTATTTTGATTCAGTTTTTTATTTTGCATTTTAGAAATTTAAACCTTCTTATTTAATGAAATATACTGCAAAATTGTTAGAAATAACTTACTTTATCTTAAATCTATCTTGTAAAAATGTTTTCCACCAGATTGCTTCTTTAAAAAAAGTATTTGTTGTGGCTGGTAGTGCCTGGGGTTGTCTCAGGCACTAAGCACACATCGTGAGTCCTGGATCCTGCCCTGAATTCAAACGCCAGCTTAAAAAGAGAGACAAATGTAAAGTCGTAACAATACCAATAGTAGGTGTGCTTGCTTTGCAGAGGAAAGGGATTGATCAGCAGAGTTTACTTATAAGAATCTTTAAAAATGAATGACTTTCCTTCCTGCTTTCCTCCTCCTTTGTGACTTGAGCTTTTCTCGAGATTCAACTCATAGAGTTAGAAAATCATCTGTGTCTTTCCTTCTTCCCAGGGTAGAACCATTTTTGAGGTGCTGTAAGGTGTGAGTGCATGGAGACAGCTTTCCTAGGAATACCCCACCTCTACTCCCCGGTTTGTCCACACTGCAGTGAACCCTATTTTCTCCCCACTTAAACAAGCATAAGCTGTAGATAACACACATTGAAGGCTAGATTCCACGTATGGCTGTAATTTACATACTTTTGGTGCATTAATCCTCACATGACACTAAAAGGTAAGTAAATATCATTATCCCCCTTTATAGGTGAGAAAGCTGAGGCACAGAGGAATGTAAACATTCTCCCAGAATCAGTCACTAAAACGGGGAGCCTGGATCTGAACCCAGGTAGCCTGGCTTCAGATATCATACCTTAACTAACACACAATCTGCCTTGCAAAGATTTGTAAACAATTCAAATCAGCAATGAAGAGCTGTATCACAGTATAGAAGCACACACAGAAATGTTCTCAGCATCTCTCTAACGGGCCCAGGCTGTAAGGGTTGAAGTCGAGGCTCATGGCACTAACTCCTAAGTTGGTCCACCTGGTCAGCCTGGCTTCCTGGGACTGCAGTCTGGTCTGGAGACTAGATGTGGAAAAGCTAGGAGACTCACTGGGTCTTCCTCAATATTCCGTCTACCACTTCTCTCCTAGTGGAGCCCACGGTGACCGTGTATCCTGCGAAGCCCCAGCCCCTGCAGCACCACAGCCTCCTGGTCTGCTCTGTGACGGGCTTCTATCCAGGCCACA